GTTGTATTAAAGTGTTATAAGGTGATGACAGACGGAAGTAGTTACGCGGCGCTCACTGATTGCCACACTACATGAATCAACCTTGAAATGAAATCATTGAAAAAGTCTTTAATCCCTGTTAAATACTAATTTAATGGTCTAGTGGTCGATAATCGCATTCGAAAACGCACCCTTTAGTTTCAATCAATTCAATTAGGTAAAGGTCCTAAATTATTATCTGCTTACTTACTTGAGAATACTTAGACTTTAGTGGTCTTATGTCTGAACCAACGAGCATGCATGAAGACTGATGACGACTGTTGATGAAGCGAAAAAAGGTATGTAAGAATCGTAGTAATAGACCTAACTAGTTCCATAGTCTCTGCCTAGCCCCATTGGAGACAGGGGTGAGGTTATGTATGGAACTATGAATGTATGAATTTCTGAATCCACCCCAGGGGTACATTCAAGTGTTACCTGTTTACAGACAATATAAAAAACAGTAATCAGAAATTCAATAAGCTACCTTTTTAGCAATCCTGACGCTCTGAGGCTCCTTTATTGGCACAGTTCTCCTGCTCAGCACCAGAGGGGAGGCGAGAGGAGGTAGCTGTTCGTTCTGCCCCATGAGGAGACGATTGTGGGTGGCATCAGACAGATTTAGAGAGGGTAGCGTAGACCTATCGTTTGTAGGGCTCGTGTTTGGACCTCCCGTCACGTCAGAGGTAGCATAGCCGTGGTAGTAGATCGTTTCCTGTGTAAAGAGGTTGGTATAATATTTGTGTAGAGAAGATACAGTAAGGCACACATATAGAAAAACTATGTTATAATTCGAAGAGCACTTAATAAATTTAATAAGTCATGGGTTCAATTTCCAGACGTTGGAATTATTCTTAGGGGTTTTGTTTGGTTCGATTCCCCATGCAAGGCAAATGGTAATATGCTCCTGTTACATTTGTGATCGTCTCTATTCTTCTACCAATCCAATAAGGCTTTTTAATAATAAAAGTACCTGGCTATGACTTCGTCTCAGATCTAGGACGATGGTAGTTCTCTGATGAGGCTGGTCAGGTGTGAGACACCGACGGGATCCCCTGGACTTGCCGCTGGCGAGCGTCGGAGCCGGAGTGAGTGGTCTTGAGTCTGTTTCGGCGTATCTGGTAAGAATGGTCAATTAATCAGCAACAATTTAAGTACACCGTGAGGTGGTGCCTTAGCGAATGATTTACTTAAAAAGGTTAAAAGGTATCTACCTACTTATGCATCATATAAAAACTTCTAGGTACTTACATTACACTGATTACCCTTAACTTACGCATAAACAACAAACCACAGATAGTATTAATAATATTTCTGTGCAACTATCAGAACAAAAATTACAAACAACACAAAAAAAAAACGAAGAAACGAAATTACTTTTATGCATGAAATACTATTTTAAAACACAAACAAAAAATCTATCTATCATGCAGGTTACACACCTGCAAATGTGTTGAAGAAAACATCTTTTAACAGAAAAAAAATAAAGTAAGTAGTTACGTACCTAACCTAACATGTTTTATGAACTTTCAGGGCGGAGTAAATCAACCTCTGGTTAGTATATTATGTGTTTATAGTATCTAACTAGCTCGCAGCATACAGCAAGAGTTAGGACATATGACATCGACTTTTCTGCAATTACCCACTTACTACTTACTAATGTTAACAATTTTTTGACGTTTCCAAACGATTGTAAACTACGTAGATATCTAGTTATTAATTTATTTAAAAAAATATGTAGATACAAAGAAACCAGTAGGTATATGGCAATTGGCAATATCATTAACATTATTGTACTTTGTAGGTAGATTTATCTGAAAGAGATTGTAAAGTATTCCGGAAAAAAATTGTTTCAAGCGGAAAAGTTGGTTTTGCACTGGTATCAAATTACATACATTACATAACGCCTTTTATCCCCGAAGCAGTAGGCAGAGGTGCACATTATACCACTGTACAATGTAACACCCACTTTTCACTATTTATGTTAGAAGTTCCATGTAATAGGGGGTGAGCCAATTGCCATATCTACCGGGCACGATTCCAGACTCCGTGCTACTAACAATTTTTAAAAAACCCAGTAATACTTTGCCTCGATCCCGAGACCCCTTACCCGGCAGTCGCACTTGCGACCACTCGGCCAACGAGGCAGTCTCCAATTCTGTTATGAAAATGACCTAAGTATATTTATTATTTTAAGTATATTAGTACTTCGAGATATTTAAAATATGTAAGTTAAATCAAAACCAAGCACAAACCTCCTAAACATATCTTCAGTAAAAATATCATGTGGTGTTCTGTTCTTCTCCTTGTCCCCGCCGCCATCTTGGAATTTTGATAGATCTTCTTGGAAATAATGTCCTTTGCCCTCAATCTGCAAAAAAGTACACACATGTTGCATTGGCAGGCTAGTGTGAGCTAGTTACAAGATATATCGCTACTGTGGTCGTGTCCATTTGGAATCTTGGTTAAATGGAATCAGTAGGAGGTGATATAGCTCCAATTTTCAATATTAGTTTGCTAATTTCTATATTGGAAAAAGCTTAAAATAAAGAAAAACCAAAAAATCGAAGACCTTTAGTTACGGGTTTAGTTACAGACCTTCAGTTAGTAGGTCCAATCCAGAGATTTAATTTAAAAAAGAATCATAGGATTTTGTTTAATTTAGGTATACATAAAACTAAGAACCATGTAACAGCACTAGTTCTGCTATAGGTAATAAGTACCTACCTATAATAGGAAATTACACAACCTATATACCTTTTCCTTATGAAAAGGCATTTTTCTATTGGAACCAAAAGTCGAAACATGTGTGATGAGTTGCGGACAAACCCATATGGTAATCATGTAGGTACCGCGGTTCCAGCAGAGAGCAAGAGTTAGGACGGGGTGCTTTTTAGCCTGTGTAAGAGTCTGTCGCTAGGGGCAGGAAGATCAGTAGATGATTTTTCATCCATACAAAAGCGGATCTATTATAATTTTTATAGTTACCCAATGATCCTTAGCCTTTTTGACGACATCTCTAGCTTCCGTGTCGGCAGGATGGTTACAGAGAACGGAGCACGCGAGTGGAAACGGATTATACAGACCGGCGTACGGCCGGAGCATGAATGGTGCGGGCGACACGTCGCATTGTAGTTGTACCGTGCTCTGAAACATTGTCAACTCCGTGTTAAGGTCACAATGGAGCAGCTTATTTAAGCCATTCTTAATAAAGATAAAAGCATGAGAGGCAGTTTTACTTACCTTATCTCCAAAAAAGCTGTCTATATTTTCGAATATGATAATGTCTTTAAGGTTGGTATTTATATTTACTTACTTTGGGTAGAAAAATCGGTCTCATTAAAAACTAATACAAAATAATGACAACAGCCATATTAATATACCTACCGACTTAGTTATTTAGGTACGTAAGTACCTACTACCTGCCTTCATTTTGTTAATGAGGAAACTAGTTTGTTGAGTACCTATCTAAGGAAGTATCTACTGAATTTAGAAGAAAAAAAAAATTTTAGTCAGTAAGAGTCTGACACTCCCTCCCGCCTCAACCCGGCGGGAGCAGTCATTCGATTATTTTCCCCCCTTAAAAAATCTAATAGGTACCTACCAACCTAACTATAACACTATGTATTGGACATAAGGAAAATAAAAATAAATTAAAACACCCACCATTGATGGAAGTACCTCATTAAATAACTTTTCCGCAATAGGTAGGTACCTACCTATTTGTCCCGAATATCGATTAAATTAGTGTGGGAAAGCCATGATTCGTCACGAATGGGAAAACCGACGGCGACGTTAAACAACGCTTGCGTTGTGTTTCTTCTGTTCCTTCCCCAATCCCTGAATCCCTAACAATCCTCAAATTCCTAACCCCTAATAGGCCGGTAACGCACTAGTCAGTTGTAACGCCTCTGGTGTTCTAGGTGTCCATGGGCGACGCCGATTGCTTACCACCAGGTGATCCGTCCGCTCGTTTAGGTACAGGCTTGTCCCAAAATTATTTTGGTAAGTACATATTTCATTACATAACTTGGATAACGAATTTGAATATTAGCGGGGCCTACAACAGGGCCAAGAAGGTAAACATTAGATAATTTTGTCAAGGGTTCATCTTTAATTTACTTATCTGCCTATTGGAACCAAGATATGTAACTAGATAAATATAATTATATATTCTGTGCTGCCGAGCTGGGTAAAAATGAAAAGCTTGGTTCGGTTCACCATTTACATATTTTAAACAAACTGACTACTTCCTACTTCTGGAAATGTTGAGTGATAAATCGACTAACCTTTTGTCTTAAAAATGTGTGTTTCGGCGCAACAGTTGCCAATAAGCCCGTATTGCTCATAAGCCCCATATTTCATATATTTTCTTATTAATTTCTTCAAGCAGATATGGAGGCCGCTCGCTATCGATCTAACTATCGCCTAGATACGCGGGGAAAAAGGCCTTTGATAAATCCCCACAACAAAATATTAAAATGTAAGAAAAAAATTGGTTTCTTGACAGAACTTTTGTCAGTTACGGATTGTAAGAGAAAAAATTAAGAAATAGGAATAAACAGTTCAGAATTATTTAGGACCTTTTTCTCGCAAAATAAGGTCGAAAACGAAACGGAAATAGTGTATGGCGTGGAATTGTAAAATTAATCACTCATGCACTTTCACAAGGCTTGAAGCTTTGATGATAAGCGATATCTAAAATGCAGTTAATATTATTGTTGGTTCCGCTTCCAGTAACAAGGCGCTTATCAGACCTGTGTTTTCCTTAACTAGTTGTTTAATTTACAATTGTTATATATTCAATGACAAGGACCAATTCAAAAAGTTAACGGCCAACCTTCAGAAATAAAGTGGCACCATAAGAAGAAGAATATATTTCTAAGTTGTTTTCACTTACAGGAATTAACACTGACTTAATCGTGATACTTACGAAAGGTAGAAAAGCTCAGTAGTTAAGGAGATAAAGAAAACAAACTAAATTGAATTTTTTCACATATATTATTCAAAAAAATTTACACAAAAGCACTAAGACATCCATTTAACCTTATTGTCTAAATAAATGAAGTTTTAAACCGACACGCAACCTCTTAATTTATTAATTAAGATATAATTTGTCTCTAAAAATAATACTCATTTTCTCTTTTTAGACATCAGAAAGTAACTATGGCATTACCAACATAATACCTACGAAGCGACATCGTGAAAGTTAACTCTAGATAATCAATATAACTTTAGAATTGTCTCTAACAACGCCTATTTGTTACAAAGGGAATTTATATTACATTTAGTGCAGAGTTATTGAATGTGTACAACGGGCGTTAATTACAACTCTTAAAATTTACAAGAATATTTAACCACTCATTAGTATTATTATTACACAGAATAGTCAAGATCAAAATAATTTCAATTGTATAAGTACTTAACTTTGTGTCAGTGTTATTCTACTATCAATATATCTTTAAAACAATATAAACACTTTGTTACGCCGACAAACTACCTTTATTTTAGAGGCACTCATTAAGTAGTTAGCTTCATAATTTTTTGTGTGAATTCTCCAAAATAAAGGGAATTTGGCAAGTTTCAGTCAACAATATAAAATTGTCGGCTCTCCGACATGTCCCAGGCAATGGAGCTGACCTGTCACCCCACTTTCTCTTAACACATAAGTGAAAGAGAAAGAACATCACACACCAGCACGAAAGACAGGGACCGATAGTGTTGCCTAATTATACTGTTTATTTACTATTACCCCACTGCGAGTTCAAACCATTGAATTTGCAGTGTGCAAGTGGCATTCACTTCTTGATGATTATGACTGCTAACACAAATGCTCTTCGTGCAAACAACAAGATTAGTTGATGTTATGCATTAATTTTCAAAAACAAAATAACCCGTGGACGCGTTTGTGTATTACTTCCGCCTTCTTGCATTCTCATTCCAACATCTATCAGAATCTAGTAATTGTTTTGATTGTGAGGAACGGAAACAGCTAATTATTTCGCAGGAGTTTAAGTTAAAATAGACATTAAGGTAAATTGGATATCAGTGAACTAACTGGGATAAATAAATGCAATAAACATAGCGTTATCCATAATAATAGTGCAGACCGACATTGGTTATTTTCGCTCATTACACAAAACGCGCGCATTATGCACGTACCATATTATTAGCAGTCATAACTGAGAACGAATCCCATACAAGAGTGAACATAAAAGAACAAAATTGCATTCAATAAAATATTCCATCACAATCTGTACAAAACGATCTTTTACAACACCAAGGCCATAATCACCTTTCATTACTAATATAGAATTATTGCATTCGGCCAATATCAACATTTGAAGGCAACGTATCAATTAGTAACAATTTTCTCACGGCGATACTTCAATCTTATAATTGATATGTGAGTGTAATTAGTTCCACAAACGATTGCCTCTTGTATCGACTGAACCTCTGAATGTTCTACATATCACTCCATATACACACGTCGTTACTTTGAGAGCTAGATAGGTACTATTTCAAAATATATACTTCTATTTAAAATGTAAATAATTTAAGTGAATTAAGATTACACAGAGCGATAGTCACTACGGGACAATACGTAAAAGGCAAGTTGATTAGAAAGGCAAGTCCACACAGTCCCTACTCTGTCTCTTACTTAAATAAACACTTAAATATATAGTTATATATATTATTATGTCATGAACATAAAAAGCAATGTAGTTTACATTGAACATAATTACTGTAATCATGTGGTCCATTCACATGAATGCTAACCAGCACCCTTATTATTTGCATTATGATTCCATTTGAAAGCTACTGGCGGGCGCTACGGCTTCCATTCAGAACTTAATGCGACATAACATTTCTTTTATGTGTCGTCAAGTGAAGGAGCAGGCTCCACCAGTAGCGATCAAAAACTGTTTTGTATTTAAAAGTAAATAATTTAATCTAAACAGCCTACGTAAAAACGTGTGACTCTGTATCTCATTCACAAATAAAATTTTAATTATGACTAGTAGGTAAGAAATAAATTTGAGCATGGAAAATAAGCGTAACTACACGACCATGCAACTATAAAAATATTATAAAACTTAAATACTTAAGGTACGGCCCTATCATAAATATAAATTACAGGTATCGTCACATACGAAAATGTCGCTCGACCGATCTACAGGGCGGCGCGTGAACACTTGGAGAGTCAGAAGAGAGGGAACGCTAGCAGATCACACTAGGGGCGCGAGGCGCGCGCCGCTTCCTCTAGCGCACGCACCTTCAGCTCACGCTCGCGCTGCTGGCGCAGGAAGTCCTCGTGGTGCGCGGGGTGCAGGAAGCCGCGCTCACGCTCCAGCAACAGTTGGCGCTGCAGCTGCTCGTGCGCTGCCGCCTGCTGCGCCAGCTGCTCCGCGTAGGGCCGGCCCAGCAGGTCAGGGTGCGGCAGTGGCCGGTACGGGCCCAGCGCCAGTGCCGCCTCCTGCTGTGCCTGCGCCGCCGCCTGCTGGCCCGGGTGTAGGTGCAGGTGCGTGTGTGAGTGCGCGTGCGTGTGGGCGTGAGTGTGCGCGTGGTACTCTGGGTTGATGCCCGCCATCTGCAGGCGCACCATAGGGTCGGCTGCGAGCGCCAGCCTCTCCGCGGCCTCCAGCTGGGCCGCCGCAACCCCGGGATGGGGGTGGTGCGGATGGTGTTGTTGTGACATGGTAGTGGGCACAGACTGTTGTTGGCCTCCCGCTGGCGGGATGCCGAGACGTTCGAGCCGCTCGCGCTCCAGTTGCGAGAGTGCAGCTGGCCCGTGTCCTGGAGGGTACAGCCCGAATTGGACCGGAATGGCACCCTGCGGTGGAGGTGGTGGCATACCGTAGCGCCGATGCATCTCTAGCCAGTGTGGATCGAGTGCTCTCGGCCCTACATTGTTTTTCAGTAGCTCCTCTTTAAGTCTGTCGTTAAGTTCACGTTCACGTAATTCTCGTATCTCCCTATCTCGTTTTTCACGTTCTAAATGTTCTAATTCAAGCCGTTCTCGTGCACCCGCAGCACCATACATAGAGCTAAGTTGATACTGTAGCATCGGGTCCATACAGTGACGCGGGAGATTGCCTGGACTAAAACCAGTATGTGGCCTAGCGTACTCTGATAATTGACGTAGTGCAGGTGTATCAGGGTATCCAGGCGGCCTTGGGAATCTGTCGTACGGGGATGATATCGTTTCAATAGCGCCTCTTGATGGGGGCTTAGTCTCTGGCTTCTCTGGTGTAGCTATCTTTCTATGTGCTTGTTGGGCAATCTTTTCTCTTTCTTCTCTGTCCCGCTCAGCTTGTTTTCGAAGACGTTCTTCTCGCTTACGAGCAAGTTTGGACTCTGGCACTGGTTTAAATATGAGATCTGTTCTTGTACATGAATTATAATCACCACGATTCCAGTGCCTAAGGAAAATGGCTGATTGAGATCTGTGACATTCGGTATCCTCTATTTTTGGTTCAGGACTCGGCCCATGTGGTATATGAGCAGGGCTTGGTATTTCTTCTTCTTCAGGTTGTGATTGTGTTTCTAATTTGAGCTCAGGATTTTCATCCGGCATTGGTCGCGGTGGACCTCGCAAGTGCGGATGTCCATGAGGCATTTGATGTGGTGAACTAGATCTAGGATGTGATGCCTGAAGTCCAGCAGCAGCCTGGGCATGAAGTCGAAGACTTTCAATAGAACTAGGTCCAGGCCCTGGTGGCAAACCAAGACCCATAGGATGTCCCATAGATGGCGGTTGAATCATTAGATGATTTGGATTACCCGGAAGCATTTTCGGGTGATGACGCATTAGCATTGAATCAGCTGGAGAAAGTCGCTCAGGGTGATGTGCCAAATGGTGCGAATGATGATGCGTGTGGTTGTGATTGTTGGTAACATTAACGCTTGATGACGAGCTGGTTGTCTGCGATACGCTCGCCGATAAGTGGTGCGGCGAATTTGAATGAGAACTACTCTTTTGCTGTGTATTGATTTTATGCTGGATTGATTGCGACGAGCTGCTCGACGTAGAATGTGATATAGATAACGTGTGGTTGGTGCCGCCTCCAACATGGCTCGGTTGTTTCTCTGTGCTGGTGTGAACCGCGCTGTGATGACTCGTTGAGTGATGATGAGTCATCGTGGTCTCATGCAGTTGATGCCTTTCAGTTGTAGCGTTAGGATTTCTTGGATCTTCCGAGCTTTCAGAAATTTCTCTAAGAGATCGCGTTGTGACTGATGAACTAGTGCTGTGACTGTGATGAGAGCTGAGCATCGTCGTTGATTCTATTGTCGAAGGTTTAACTGGGTCATGGCGACCTGCAGTGCTTACCGCAGGGTGCATAGGGGGTATTGGATGTGGTTGAGGTAATGGCCCATAAGGATAAGGATAAGGCATTGAATATCCGGGATGTGGGTGCGGATAATATGGGTGCATAGCATGAGCCGCCGCTGCAGATAGTTGAAAAATAGATGGATGAAGTAAATGTGGGTGGTGAAGCGGCGAAGCAAACGGGTGTGGTTGTTGACCAGAGTGCATGACAGGGCCAGGTATTGTCGCTGGTATTGATAAAGGTGTTGGATTCATTAAATTCAGTGCCGAATGTGATACTGGCGTATTCGGTTGAACAGGTGATGCTGAAATTTGTCTTGGCTGAGAGGGACTTGTCAGATGCCTTGAGAATGGCGAAGTTGTTGCAGACGAGTGAGCAATATGCATAGGTGTTCCATTGTGTCCCGGTTGGCTTTTGATAGGTGTCGGCGTGTGTGGACTTTTCACAGGAGGAACGTGGCTAGTTGATTCAGAGCTGCTCTGACTTGTTGAAGTAGGTGGCAAGTGAGGTTGGTGCAAAAAGTCAGGTTCCTTTTTAATACTCTCAATCCTGGGGCCAAGGAAAGCACTAGTCATATTGGCATTTTCATTGGCAGGCTGGCTAGGAGGTCTGCTGTTATTTTCGACACTAGATATTGACTCTCTGTCTCTTTCAGTGTTCAAATGTTGTGCTATTGCACTTCCAATAGGATATCCTGGTACTTTAACTTCTTTGAGTGATTGAAGTGGATCAACTTGCTGAGTAGATAAATTAGCTGGTACATTGTCAGACACTTCCTGTTTGATTTTCAGATCTTGCGGCATTGATGAATCAGTTTGATTTCCTGGTGTTGGAATCAGATTACTACCCTGTATACTGTGAGAGGGTGGATGTTGTGGCATTAAAGGTGGCATTGATCCAGGCTTATCAAGACCTGGATGCCCAGGGTGACTTGCATGACCATACAATGCTGTAGGCATAAAACCATATGGGCCAACATTAGCTCCACTCCCAACAGATATCAAAGGTCCAGGTGGTAACAAACCAGCAATGGAAGGTTGAGTGAGTGGTGGAGGCATATTTTGCACAGAAACTGGTGTAATAGAAGCTTCTGTTGATCTAATTCCAAGATTTTCTGGTCTAACTGGATGTGGAAATGAGGGAGGCCTCAAGTTGCCACTCTGGGAATCTTGCTTGGGCACAGGTTGAGTCTTCAAGTCTGTTGGTTGTTTGTCATCTACATCTGACTCTTTATTCTCTTGTGAATTTGCTGGTGATATTGGCTCTGTGTTCAAAGTTGTTGGATGTTCCATTGGAGGTGGTGATGATCCTCGAGGATTTGTAGGTGTTGGACTCATTCTTTGTAATGAGTCTAATCTAGGTGCATTTGGTGAATCTACTTTATTACCTGAAGAAATTGTTGCAGTAAAGATTTCAGGTGTATTTTGATTTTTCATTTCACTTGCTTCATCTCTAGGCTCTAGTTTGATCACTGTCTTAAGTGGATTTAAATGTGGATTATGCTTCGAAGGATCATTTCCAAAGTTCATATTAGATGGATATGAAAATGGCGGCATACCAGATGAAAAATCTTTGGCACTTCTTATAATTGAGCTGTCCTTTGTTATATTTAATGGGTTGAAGATATTATTTGATACATTTTCAATTTTAATACTGTGACCTAATTTTGGATTGTATATGTGGCTGTCTTTCACAAAGAAGTTAGTATTTTCCAAATTAAGTGGTTTGTTTGGTTGGTTCACAGGATGTCCAGGGAAATTGTGTGATAACGGATCTTTTGGGAAGTCCTCTTTTTGCAGATTTAATGTTTCATCGGTATCTATTTCTTCTTTTATTTTTATTTTCTCAATAGGGTCTGTACACATAGGTGTAACTTTTGGTATAATAAGTTCTGTTTTAGGAAACATGGGATTTTGCATGACAAGAGGCCGCGGTTCCATGCTTTCAGGAATTTTATTTGTACCTGTATCTGTTTTTAAGTCCAGAGCATTACGTTCATCTTTTTCAGTAGCCACTTGGAAAGTTGGAGGCATGGCATCTTTTTCAGTTTTAATGACGGGTTCTGGATTATTCTCAATTTTAACCTGAGAATCAACAGATTTTGGGTGCTGTTCTACTTCTGGTTCTTTGTTATGTTCAGTACTCTCCTTGTCAGTCTTATTAAAACTGAAGTCACAAGCCTCTGGCTCTGGTTCCGGAGTTTCAGTTTCATCCATTGCAGGGAAACTATCATTAGTGAGACTTTCTGCAGGACTGTCGGGAGGTTCCAATGCCTTTTTCTTTTTCATCTGTACATCACCATCCAAAATACTCTCTGGCTTTGTATCATCTGGAAGACGTTTCTTAACTTTGGATACATCTACTTTACCATTTGTTACCACCTTCTTCTTGATATCTTTGCTCACTGGAGATGATATACTTTTTTCAGCTGTATTGTTATTGGTAGTAGTTTGTACATTTGGTTTACTAGGTTTAGGTTTGGCCTTGGAATCATTATCACTTTCATCTTGACCTTTCTTTCCATTTGGAGTACTTGGTGTACTTTGCTCTTTAGATTTATTACGGGTTCTCATTCGACTTGGAGAGTCCTCCGGGTTTTCAGGCCTCACAGTGTCTACTTTAGCTAAGTCACCAGCATCTCTGGAATCACTATCTTCTTCAGAATTTTCATCTTCTGTCACTGAACTCATCTCGCCAGCTTCTTTAGGATTGGGTGAAGGTCTTGATCCGTTAGTATCTGGCACTGTAGGTGTAGCTTCAGGAGTCTGCTCTTTAGGAGTACCAGCTCGAGAATTGCGGGTATTACGCACACGTCTGAGAGATGCCTGACGTCGTCTCCTATGTGGCCTATTGCTACTAGCACCAGGAGTTTTCTTCCACAAGTAGTAAAATTCAACTAACTCAGCAGTGTCTTTATGAGGCAAAAGGTCTTTTCTAATTTTAAAGAAATTCTTACCGAATTGCCGAATCCCTTTAACAAATCTTTTTGTTTCTTCTTCAGTCCACTTTTTCTCAATTCCTTTAGGAACTGGACACTTGACAAGAGCTTGTAAAGCGCGACCAGGGTCGTACCCTGAGTCATGAAGCACATCCAGAGCGTTGATAGTGGTATCGTCGCGACTTGCTGCGACACACCCGTCGTCTGGGGAGCCTCCGTCACACATACCAGCAAATGCGGCCATAGAGCGCGCAGCTCGCAAGTACATAACCAGATCACGGTCCGTAGCCTGCGCAGGCAGCCAGCGAAGTTCTTCACCACCAGGACACGGTTCGTCGGGTCCAAGCGGCCCGTTCGTCCGCATATCAGGCAAACAGGCGTAAATGTCTTTCTCCTTCACGGGTTGGCTCGGTGTTCCCACTTGAACCTCCCCCTGATTCTGGGCCATGGTTCGTGCCAAATGGTCTATTTACACTAGGCACTGTTCCTTACTCACATAACACAAATATCACTTGGGTTTACATGTTGTTCAGTTGTAATTCACAATAAAGTAGTCACTGTAATCCTTTAGATGTTTATTTGCTGGTCCGTAGAACAGTAAGTATGCCAATATACATAATTATTACTTTTAATGGCCACCATTACACGATGCATTGTGCTTCATTTTATGAACATAAATGATACACACGTAGTAAAAGTTATTAGTTCACTTTAGTATATCGTTAAGATAAGTCTTTTGAGTCAGTATTTACGCAAAATTTACTGTTATTTTAGGAAATGCTATCTACATGCTAGCCTTTTGTTTAGCTTCGCCTTTCTTTGGCTTACCATAGACAAACTTTAATTCTATAAAATGGCTGCCACGAAAGGATATTTTTGCAAATCGTTTCAATTTATGCAGTTTTAAACAAAGGTCAAAATAGAAAATTTCAAGAAATATACACTTAAGCCAAGTATTTTACTTGATTAGTACATAAATTAATAAGGGACTTAATTTTGTAGTAATATGCTGTATAGATATTCTAAATACAAATCAGAAATGAAGGATTTATGTTGCTTTTTCATGGAAAATGAAACGTTTCCCGTCGATTTATAAATATACAGTTGTCTATGTTACTCAATTATTTACTCTGAGAAAAACTAATGAGAAAATTTAAATACTGCTTTTATAATTAGGTATTATAAAAGTCTTATTTGATACAAACCAAATCCAGGCATTTATTGAAACTGGTCCTTTTTAAATCAGTGCACAGCACGTTTCAGTTTCAAAAAGCTGTTTGAAGCTGCTGCAGAAGTTGGTAACCTATCTCTTTCTTTTTAGTACGAAAAGAAAAAGCAGTGATGAAGTAATCTTCCATGCGTGGTTTCATAAAATTCGATCAATACATTGTTTGCTGTCAATGTCAAACTGTTGATGAAGGACGAGGACGATTTTTTGACAGTTTCATTATCAACCATCTAGGGATGAGCGATATTAATAAAATATCGATATTGCAATCGATATTGATATCGACAGCCCAATATCGATAATTCGATATTATCGGGTACAAAATATCGATATTTTACAATATCGATCGGAAACCATAATCAACTGTAAGTTATATGCCAAAAATATTATAAGAAATAATAGACATTATTTTATAGGTGAAAAATCAAAACAAAAAGTTAAATTATTGACTTAAAAGAAAATCTTTCCTTTGGAACTATGGAACCATGTTCTTGAATGCTTTACGTATATGTAGATAAAAAAAATGAAAGGGAAATTGCTCTCAAAATTGCTCATACTACATATATACGTAATTTCTATACTATGCTAAAAGTTTCATAGTTTTTTATCAATACCCTGCAGTATGAGCAATTTTGAAAGCAATTTTCCTTTCAACCGGTTTCGTTGCTGGTAGAGAGTCTGACCAGGTTTCGAAAATAATCTCTCCGACGATGTTGACATTGCTGCCGAAGTCAAATGTTTAATTGCAATTTTTTTCAGCATGGGATATGAACATCCAAGAACATGGTTCCATGGTTCCAAAGGATCTTCTTTTAAGTCAACTAAACTTTTTAAAAAAGAATTTAATTCAAGAGGCATGCTAGATTGTTGTTTTTTTATGAACAAAGTAGGGTTGCTACTTTGTTCATAAAAAAACTATATCGATGTTTACCAAAGAATAGGTACGTTAAACGATTTTTTTTACATAAGTAAAAGATCACTAATCGAAAAATGTGTTCGAGATTCGAACATACTGCGATATCATGTAAAAAATATCGATTTGGCGATATTTTAACCTTACTATTATCGATATTTAAATATCGATATTTCTGAGGTTAATATCGATATTTCTACGATATCGATAAATATCGCACATCCCTACCGGGTTCCCATGCTCTCGCCACCTGCCACCTGCCGTACTACGCATAATTCGCGTTCGTAAATGAACGGTAGTGACCACGTGTGCCCAGTTTTTTCATCTCAGCGAGGACGCGGAAGACCGGTGGAGCCCAATTAATTTTATCTTAATGATACCGAAGCCGATGCGATCGGGACGGGGGTGTGTCGATGAAGATTTCTCCGAGTTAATCGATTGCGTCAATAATTTCGTGTTATAGAAAAGCCATTTAATGGTTTTTGTCGGTGTCCAGCTCGTAAAGTCGAAGTCTGTAATAACCCCATTCTTGGGAGCAGGAAGCGCCATGTGGATCAAGGTGTCATTTAGTGCAATTAGGCAGTTTTTAATTCCAGCAATTTATTAATATTTCCATCAGTAAAACGTCCGTTTCTGCGAACGAGTTTCATCTCATCATCCATTCGAAATGTAAACGTATAAAACTGTCGTAACTTTATATCTATAAAACGTTTGAACATAAGAATGCTTCTGATTTTATCAGTGTAATCAGTTAATTGCCTTAAGCGTATCAAGTAATCTGTAAACTTGTTTTTGTTTATCCCTTGCTTGCATACACCCGTACAAGCAAAGCAGATATGACTCAATAACAAACCAATGCAAAAACAGATAAAAGTAACAAATTATTTTTTTTTGATCCGGTGAAAAAAGGGCTTCCATACGGCTATCATGGGACTATGATTGTTGTTAGATTATTAAATTAAGATTGTAATTAACTCGTCGAGTACCGGTTTTGTAGACACAATTATAGAACAATAGGTTGCGGTCACCGGTGACCGCTTGGTGTTTGACAGTTTAAATTCTCCATAACATACAAAGGATTGTATTTGGATCAATAGTAAACAAAACAATTTTTCTTTCAGATACTTTGTACCTGACAGAGATTCATGGTGGAAACATCAAAAGTTTCACACCCCTTGGCCTTGTTCCCAGTGTGTGCAGAACTTTGAAACAGAAGTAGAAATCCGGCACCACCTGAAGACTGTTCACAATCTCGTACATTGCAGGCTTTGTCACTTTAGGGTCCTGGATGGTGACCCTTACCACACACATTTGTTCCAAAAGCACAATGTCAGTAATGTGGCTAATAAAGATGAGGAAAACCTGTGGGAATTAGAATATGATGGTACCTCCAACTTTCAATGTCTACTCTGCAATAAACCTAACATCACCACTAGAACATTCTTCAACCACTACATGGGATACCACCACTTCACTCTTAAATGCTTCACACATCTCATCTCAGGTAGAGATCCTCCTTTCACTGTATTTGGAGCTGACCTCAGACCAGAATTTGTTGAGGAACAACTAAAGAATCATCCTAGGTATGGTTATGTTGAATCTGACTTCAAGCCTGCTGGCTGCCCTATCGAAGCTGACCCAAGTGCTACCAAAGACCTACTCAAAGTACTCATACCTGAAATAAAGCAAGAAGTGGTGACTGCGGATGAGGCCAAGACTGATGATGGTCTGGAGAAGACAAAAGATGATGATTATGATGATGTCTATAAGAACTACAATGGGGATGATGACTTTGATGTCACTTCCTTGGAACTCATCGCCGTACAAAAATGTTACCATGATTACATAAGTGATATTTTGTCCGATTTCAATGCTAAGGCATTCTTTGAATATTCCGATATTAATTATGAGAAGATTACAACAGAGATTACAATGGATATAGTCTGTACACTGTGTAGTGTGCGGTACAGCACATTATCTTTATTTTCTGCACACATGTTCAAAATGCACTGCATTAAGTCATCACCCATATTTTCGTGTAGAGTGTGTGTTACACCATTTGAAAACCAGACTGACCTGGACAACCATATAACCAACGAGTTGGGAGACTTCGAAGATCTCTGGATATGTCAGTTTTGTGATAAAGAGTTTGACGACAGGGAGTCGACGCGGCGTCACTTGACTGAACATTGGGATGTGGTAGAATATGACAATTGTTTTAGTCCACATTTAGGTTTCAAGTGCAGGTACTGTCCCACACTGTTCTGGCATGAAACAGACAGGGAGACTCATCAGGTCCGTGCACATTACTTTAATCATAAAGAAGATTACTACAAGTGTGAAACCTGCAATGAGTTGTTTAGCGATAAGGTAAGACTATGTTTAAATACTTTTTCCATACCCATGTTATCGCTGCCACTATTAAAAAGTTCTGTAGCACTGTCATAGTAAATTTATTTAATACTACAATAAACCCACAGATATGGTTTGTCCACCACTACATAGAAAGGCACAGCACTCCAGAGAAGACTCCACTGTACCTCCTCAAGTGCTACCTCTGCTGTCTAGTACTGCCGACTATCGAGGAGATGAGAGGTCATTTCAACTGTGAACACCCTGAAGCTAGGAAGGTGTTCTGTTCCTTAGACTCCTGTCAGTACAAGCCTTTGAGTCATAGAAAGTCTTTCAAATTGCATGTGCGGGTAAGAACATTTTTATGAACTATTAAATTTAGAAAAGTTGAAATGCAAGATGGATAGCAACCCTATCCAACCCACTAAAGGTCATGAAGAAAGTCTACTAAACAAAATACTTATATTTTTTTTTATATGCGATATTTTTTAATTAATATACTAAAATGTATGGCCGCCCCAGTCCATGCACACGTCCCGCGCGCGGCCGGAGCGCGCGGCGGACTGCAGCGTGTGCGGGCGCGAGTTCAGCAGCTCGCGCGCCTGCGGGGCGCACATGGCGCAGGCGCACGGGCCCGGCAAGTTCAAGTGCAAGCTCTGTCGACAGGTGCTGCATACCATGGACGAGAGGTCAGACACTACAACTAAACTTACCTCTATTGCAAGTGACATTTAAGATTACTATCGTAAATCAAAGAAACAAGTGATTTTTTCTAAAAGTGGGCGGGAGATTGAGGTGTGCTTACAGTGTCTACTTATCATACTCACCTTTCACTATATTAGAGTTAATTTGAAAATTCGTTATGCATTTTTCACCTCGTTTTTTCCCTACTTAACTAACTGTAAAGAATTAATTAATTTGTTAACGCTCGAATACTGAAAGGGTACTCAATTTTAAGCCGCGCATGAGTATCGTTGTGTCCCTGCAAATTCTTTGTAAAAAGATAAAGATAGCATGATATTTAAGTAGGTACAACTGAAAATTGAGTAGCCTTTCAGTGTTTAGGAGTATGAGTAATTAATTTATGTGACTTTGAAGCTTGACTTAACTACTGCGTAGTCTCACAATGTTACTACTAGTAACATAACATAACATCACCCCTTTTTATCCCCGAAAGTGTAGGCAGAGGTGCACATTACGACACTTAATGCCACTGTACAATGTAACACCCGCTTTTCACTGTTTATGTTATGAGTCCCATGTAACAAGGGGTGAGCCTATTGCCATATACCGGACACATTTCCAGACTCTGTGCTACTACTGAGATTTTTAAAAACCCAGTAATACTTTGCCCGACCCGGCAATCGAACCCGAGACCCCCTTGCCCCAGTCGCACTTGCGACCACTTGGCCAACGAGGCAGTCACTACTAGTATCACAACTTATTCTACCTCTATAATCAATCTGTTCCAGAAAACTCCACTATCTAATGACGCATCCAGGGCAACATCCGTTCGAATGCAATGAATGTGGCAAGTCATTCCAGTACAAGTCCTCTCTATACATGCACAAACAGGACCACATACCCAACAAACAGAATTATACCTGTACCTATTGCGGGAAGACGTTTTTGGTAAGTATACATTTGTGAGATGAACTTTAAATACTGGACTATAGAGTTCATATTTGCTGAAAAGAAAGGTCTTAGCGTTTTTGATATCAAATTAATGAATTGAACATAATGTTGAATAATAAGTAATATTTTAGAAAGCATTTTAAAATAAACTGATATAAACTTTAAATATATTGACATTGAAGTTCAGATTCATTAATTACCAATATATTTATCCTTTCACTGCGTACGTTTCACGTGCTGGATGCGTTTCGTGTAGCACTTTATTACCGACTTTAAAAACACCAACAGAAGGTTCACAATCCACTTTTTTGTATACAGAAACGCGATTCATTTCGCGAACACGTTCAAATACACGAGGGGCCCCGACATGCGTGCTCGTATTGTCCGATGCGTTTCGTGCAGCGCTCGAACATGTTACGACATGAACGGAGACATACTGGAGAGAGACCGTATGCTTGTCCACATTGTCCTCGGAGCTTCGCTGATAAAGGAGCTTGTAATTCTCATGCAAGGTAATTTCAAAGTTTTTGATGTCTTTTACCATTGATATTGTTAATAATAAGGTTATCTTAGTGTAGGAGGTTCATACACAATGAAGCACTGTTGTTGATAGATATAGTTTCTTCATTAACTTATAATTACAATAATGTGTGCGTAGTCTTGCTATGGGAACAGAAAAAAGGGAAGAAAAAATGCCTATGACCCGGTAGTAAGAACAGTAGCGACATGCGGCACAAAATGGAACTAATTATTGCGTTCCAATTCCTACACTTAACAACATTAGATCTTAAAAAACGGCCCAATAACGTACACATAACTAAATTGCAGAAGTCAGTGATTATCTATTAACCACATTTTAACATGTCGCTTGTTAAGCGACTTTTTTACAACGTTTTACTTATAATAATATCATTGTCTATAACTGTTATTTAAATAAAACTTGTTTCTTATATTAATAGATAACAAGAAGACAAAATAATTGGTGTAGTACAGTTAAAGTAATGCTCACATTTACCGCTAGTGGCGCTAGTGTAGTTTATGGCTGATTTGCCTACACTTAGCTGTAGTTTCTTCATAGTTTTTCTTTATACCCTAATTTGCTATTACTGTTTTAATAATTGATTCTATAAACTGTTTACAGGACCCATTTGAAAGACACATCATACGCGTGCATGTACTGCGGCAAGACGTTTGTGCAGAAGTCTAAGCTCACATACCATATAAGAAAACATACGGGAGAGAGTGAGTATTAGACCTTACTATTGAACTTTTGATATCCTTCTATATTATAATGACCGCCTCGTTGGCCGAGTGGTCGCAAGTTCAACTGCTGGGCCCTTGCCCGAGTCGGGCAAAGTATTACTGGGTTTTTAAAAATCTCAGTAGTAGCATGGTGTCTGGAAATGTGTCCGGTATATGGCAATAAGGTCACCCCCTATTACATGGGACTCTATCATAAATAGTGAAAAGTGGGTGTCACATTGTACAGCGGCATTAAGTGCTGTAATGTGCACCTCTGCCTACCTCTTCGGGGATAAAAAGTTATGTTATGTCTATATTATACATACAAAGTTTTGTATGTTTATTTGTAACTCCTTCACGTCAAAACAACTGAAGGGATTGGGATTAAAATTGGAACAGGAGTAGGATATGGTCTGGAATATAACACATAGACATTTTTATCCTGTCGCGGAGAACCTAACTGGCCACCGGGGCACCAGCTCGACGTGCAGGAGAAGGAACGGGGTGGTTTTTAGTCAGTAAGAGTCTGACACTCCCTCCCGCCTCACCCAGGCGGAATGACTCCTCGTCATTCGATGATTTTCCCCCCTTAAAAAATACCTCGAATTGTTAATGTTTGGTCCAAAAAACCCCTATAATACCCTTAAAAGTGTATCTTTAGTAAAATTGGGTACTTACCTTAATCAAAATTAAATTATTTCCACTGTTCAATACAATAAAATATTGACCAAATTAATTTTAGTATTTTTCCAGCAAGTTTTTGAGAAATGAGTACGCGCTAAAACGTTACGTCACAATTCACAATCTCGTACAATATTCATAGAAAACTGTCGTTTTAGACAGTTCATTAAAAGTATTGAATTTGATTAGTTGTCATATACCGTATTGTATTTTGTATCGTATTTCAGATCTGGAGACATGTCCGGTATGTTCCAAACTGTTCACAAGTGCGTGCTCGTTGCGTGAACACATGAAGATACATGAGCCTAAGAAGGAGCTTATCAAATGTCCTCTCTGTGGTAAGTTTGAACTTTTGTTTGATCATCTTCCAAGATATGCGTGATCCAGATAATAATTTATGTTTAGGTAATAAAATGTCTCTGTAGTGGGTAGTGGTAAACAAGAGGTCGAACTAGATCATTTATTTAATACGAATAAAATACAAACGGCACGGTTGGTGCGGTGGCTGGGCAAACGGCTACAGCGCCACGTGTCGCGCGTCCGATTCCCGCACGGAGCAACTCGGTGTGATCCACAAATTGTTGTTCCTGGTCTGGGTGTCATGTGTTTGTGAACTTGTATGTTTGTAAACGCACCTATAAACAGGAAAAAATACTAGTGTGGGGCATCCATTTCAAAAAAAGATCACCCTGTGAAATAGTATGGTGATGATTTTTTTTAGATTAGATTACCTAAATTAACGTACTAGGTAAATTCAAGTCATTATTGAGTAGTTTTGAGACCAGGGTGCTTACTCTTGAAACCAATCTCAATGTCAATGCAATTTCAATCCAATAAAATCTCAATAATTACTAAATGTCAAATCTATACAACCCCTATCGTAGCTATTAAAATAGCATTCAGAGTACAGAATATAAAGCCAAACTCAATACCATTTAGTTCATTCAATATCTACGCAGACGGATGCAATGGACGCTAGTGTTGCAACTCAAGACTACGAAATTTCACAATGTCAATGTCGATCGATCGGAATTGGATGCAAGAGTAAGCTCCCTGAAAATAATATTGTCTATCACAGATCGTAAGTACCAAGACGAGCGTTACATGCTCCGCCACCTGCGCACGAGCCACACGCGCGCGCGCCACCCCTGTCCCATCTGTAACAAGATGCTCACCAGCCCCGCCGGGCTGCGGCACCACGTCATCACGCACAGCAACATGAAGACCATACAGGTGGCTGGCTTTATATCACTCACTATAACGTCCGTTTTGGCATGGCAACATGTTGGAAACAATTTTTTGTTGACTGGTAATGAAAGCCTTATGCTCATGATGTAAAGGCTATTTTGGCATAGCAAGATTGGTCATTAAATATTTTTTTGGAAGACTAATCTTTCGAAAAGTGTATATTTCATATTTAGAAAAAAATTTGTGGAATGTTGTCTTGATATTTGTTTCTTCATTACAGTGTAAAATGTGTCCAAAAGCCTATTCAGTGAAGAGGACGATGATCAAACACTTCCGTCGTCGCCACGGCTTCAAGGGCACTGAACCAAATATAAAGGAGTTCTACACTAGACTGGACCCTCGAGACTGCAATCTTGGTCTCGACGAACCTCTCATGACCAGTATATTTGGACCTCCGAAGAAGAAATTGGATGAAATATTAATGGCAAATTATGTGACTCTAACTAATGTGGCGCAGCAGAGTCTAACTAATATGCCTGAACGTTTTCCTATACAGGCTCCAGAAAGCGAAACTGCAGAAGGTACACCACACGAACATTCGCAACAGTCCATTCGTAAGGATAACGATAACGATGAACACTCACAAGAGAGTGAAAGAGAAGGTAGTTTTGCTCAACCAGACAAAGTCATCATAAAGGTTGAAGCTAAAGAAGATGACGAATTTGAACACGACGCGGACCTTGAACCTACTGATTTCGTTAGCGTCAAAATTGAACCTATGGATGATGATCCATGATGATAGTGATTCGGATTGTTCATTAAAATTGAAAGACTAAAGCGGGAAACATGCAACTGTAAAGAGATGTGTGTTGATTAGTCACTTATGAAGGTACTTTAATGTGATTGGCGGAGCAATGACACATTTCATAGCGCGTGACTAGCTGTGTCAGTCATCTCCAGCTTTGAGTCTCTTTTAGTGAACATTTAATGATTAATTATTATATCTGTTTCTTATCTCTATGTCAACTGTTTTAAAATATTCTTAGCTAGTAGAAATTCAAGTTCCATTTTTCAAGTCTTCTTTGAACTCAATACAGGATTATATGCGACCTCTTTTTTATAAGACAAATATCGAATATTGAATAGTTAGTATATTAAATACGATTATTGTTGTACCCGCTATGTGTAGCGTTACAAATGACACAGATTCCTATATTATTAGATAGCTAGTTTAAATGGTACGAGAAAGAACGCTTGTTATTAGATGGGGCGTACCAAATTATACTGGTCGTACAGTATTTATCTGTATTCATTTGTTGAACTCCACACCATACTGTTAAAACCCGTGTACTGACGGAACGCGCTGTTTGGTCAATTTTAAGATGTCGTAATCTGATTGGCTAGGGCGTATTTGACTGGCCAATAAACGGTCATAGTTCGGGTTGCGTGTTATGTCCTTCTAATAGTATGGTGTCGTTTTATGACTCGTTTGTGTGTCAGTAAGGGCAAGTGTTAAGCAGCGTCTTTACTATTCTAAGAAAGACTATTTTTATTTAATATTAGTATGTAAGGAAAGATTTTTATGTTGATTTTTTTTTATATAGGGCTGATTTTTGATCAACAGATGATTCTTTACTATAGAATAAAATTGATATTTGACAGAACTTCTTAGTATGGAAGAATTGTCAAATATTCAGTTATTCTTCCAATAAAATTTACTTGGCGTTGGAAAAATTGGCCCTTAGTAAAATGCTTTAATTATAAATTATTAGAAGTAATGCGTTTTTATCGAATAGTTCCATAATAATATGGTTGGATAAATAAAGTAATTCATAGAACTGAGTTTTTTTTATTTAAAATGTCTTAAAAATATAGGTATCTAGCATTACACACACAACCACATTACCACAACATCATCAGCCGGAAGATGATCACTGCTGAATATAGTCCTGTGGTTTTCCTCGTCGAACGATAACTTGCCACTTAAATTCATTTAAATAATATCTATCTTATTAGATAGATTATTGTATCTTATGAAATTAAAAATGTGTGCAACAAAAAGTCTGGGAAACCTAGGTATATTTATTCGCATATTCGTCAAACACTGACTGGGCTGCCTCGTTGGCCGAGCGGTCGCAAGTGTGACTGCCGGGCAGTGGATTCCGGGTTCGATTCCCGGATAGGGTAAATTTTTACCGTTTTTTTTAATCCTCAGTAGTAGCACAGAGTCTGGAATTCTGCCTGGTATAAAATAATAGGCTTACCTCCTATTACATGGGACCTCCTATTACTCATAATATAAATTGTGAAAAGTGGGTGTACTTAACATTGTACAGTGGCATTAAGTGCCGTAGGGTGCACCTCTGCCTATCCATTCGGGGATAAACAGGCTTCGGGCATGATGTAATGTTGTATTCGTCAAACATTCATCGTGATTATTTCACACTATGATTTAACTAGTCTTTTACTAAAGAATATTGCTTAACCAATGCAAAGAAGGGCTTCTATTTCATTATTTAATTATGTTTTCCTCGTTTCTCACTATGTTAAAAGTTTAATACTGAAAAATTGAGGTTTTTGAACGCATACTTATCAGCTGTTGATTCTGTCATTTTTACATGACATCGTACTGTCAACATGTCAATTATGTTTTAGACTTTGACCTGTAGATTATTGTATATTTTTCTATAAAATAAGCAATTATTTATTACGTAATGGCTTAAATATTATAATATATACTTAATTCCATTACCTAGTGTCGATTTTATGTAATTATAATTATGTATAATCCCGCAGTAACGGTTCGAAGAATCGATGTTTTGATTCGTATTTTAAGCAATCGTAAGCTAATATTAGCTGCAAATCCAGTGAGAAGTTATTCTAGCGAAGATAAAGTGACCATTGGAGATGTGAGCAAGGAGATCAAGAGTCCCAAAAAAGTTGAATATGTGCCCCGAAAATACTGTAAGTTGTTACCTTGAAACTTTGCTTCCTAACCTACAAACACCAGTTCAGCTCATGTTTTTTTCAGTATTTGTTGATAAACAGCTTCAAGATAAAGTTAAACATAATAGACTTTTAATGGAATTTCATAATTTTTTTCTGCATACATTTGGAACATAACTACATATTTAAATATTTAGGTACTTAATAAAACTTAATTACCTTTATTAACTAATGATATTATTATACGTACTGAAAATATACAGTACATAGGAAATCTTCTATATTTTTTTCTCCTGATACCTGTTATACCTCTTTGATTATAAATCACCAATAGTTTCACAGTTATAAAAGTAAAAAGTAAGAAATCTATCTCTTACTCATTATAATTAAATGTTTTTTGTTATTAATTTTATATTACATTCACAGTGACTATAGAGGACACAGAGATAAAGTCTTTATCTCAAAGTACACTCAGGAATCTAAGATGGATGATGCAGAAAGATTTACTTGGCCAGGATATGTTCCTTCTAGGACGACCTGGACCAAGCAGGTGAGTTAAAGTTTTTAATACTCTGTGGTTAAAGTATGTAAGTGGTAATGGTATTGATAGATTGAAATTTAACCCTTAAAGTAATCATTAATTTGTTAACACAAATCAAGTATTTGTATAGGTGTTAATGTATGCATTATGCTAAAACCTGCTAAAACATGCATTTTGTTAGTTTTCACTTATCACATAAAAACACTAATGCTTCTGTAGAAAGAAAGGAATGAGCGTCAGTAATAAGTTATTTATTTGTCTCCTCTATTCATTGTTTTTATGGGATAGGCCCATATACGAGCCTGTAAGCAATTGGCGTCGCAACGAAACATGCAAGTTTTGTATCATATTGGTTTTATATGAGGCTGTGGTAACACTCCGATATATTATTATCATCCTTTAATAATTGTATCCATTACCATAACATTCACTCCCTTCTTATCATCCATTACTTATTATGTCATAAAATTTATCAAACAAATTACAGTCCAATCACTGAAATGCTGTAAAATATTCTTACTGTATGATTAAGTAGTGGGACTTTGAACTTTGAACTTAAGATACTATCACAGTAGCAGTTGATATAGAAATTATACAAAAATAGATCTTAATGATTGCCAAAAATGTTTTTAATGTTATGTTATAGATTAGAGCTATGAGGAAATATAACATTTTGGAATCTAATTAGATAAATACTTCTTGTCTCTTGGCCCATAGCCAATATAGTTGGATACACATATTTACCACTATTTCTTAATTTTTAGGAGGAAAGTAGCCCTTCAGTACTTGGAACTGACTCAGAGAGAGCTAGAGTATGTGGCTCTGTCAAGAGATACCACGGAGGCTGACCTTAAGCAGAGAAGAGAGATCCAGAGCTCTACTGCTAAGTATTTTGATCAGGTAAACATAGCCTTAAAATTTTAACGACTTCCTTTCTGGTCGAGTGGATATTTGATATTAATGGAATTTAGGAAATTCTCTCTTCATATTTAAAAATCTAACATTGCATGATTCTCAAGATATTGAACATGTGTTGTACATATGAACAGCTTTTTAGAAATTTCAACTTTATTGTTTTGTAATGAAGTTCGAAATAGATTGAAAATATATCACAGGATCATTGGATATGATTTTTTTGGGCATCCGGTAACCTCACTCACACGAAGAAACACAACACAACATTGTTTAACGTTGGTCCTCTGTGAGGCCGTGGTATCACTCCGGTCGAACCGGCCCATTCGTGCCGAAGCATGGCTCTCCCACACTCGAATCCTTCAATTAATTATAGATGTTATGATATATTTAATCTTCTCCCACAGAGTGCAGTCCGTGCTGCAGTAGAAGGCCGCGTGCTCGTTCTAGAAGGAATAGAAAAGGCGGAGCGCAATGTGTTGCCAGTGCTAAATAATTTGCTCGAAAACAGAGAGATGCACTTAGAAGATGGAAGGTTCTTAGTTCCAGCTTCTAGATACGATAAACTATTGGAGGTAATTACATATTTTGAAATTAGACTAGTCAAGTATTAAAATACTTTTGTAGTAAAAGCTTGCAGTGCAAAATATTTTTACCTACCATTTTTTATTACATAACATCGCTCCTTTTATCTCCAAAGGGGTAGGCAGAGGTGCACATTACGGCACCTAATGCCACTTTTCTATGTAAATAGGTGTTAACAATGTAACTTTCACTATTTACGTTATGAGTTCCATGAAATAGGGGTGAGCCTATTGCCATGTTATACCGGGCACATTTTTTTTAAACCTAGTAATACTTTCTCCGACCAGGGAATCGAACCCGAGACCCCTTGCCCTGCAGTCGCACTCGGCCGACGAGGCAGTGTTTTTATTCTATTAAACAGTTGTTCTTACAGTTTGTGTAAACACACCATAGCATGACATCTTCCTATAATTTCGTAGGAGCACGGTGCAGAAGAAGTTTCAAGATGGCGACTTGTGCGAGTTGACGAGAACTTCCGCGTGATTGCGCTAGGTCTGCCGGTGCCTCGGTACAGCGGACAGCCGTTAGACCCGCCGCTGCGGTCCCGCTTCCAAGCCAGAGATGTCGCTACGATCGGATTTTCGGTAAGTTGTATCTTTTTTAAGCTGTAGACAATATTTATGACGTATTGGAATTTTTATATGACGATCTATTGCCCCGAACGGCCATAAGTATGTGCTACCTAAGGTACAAAACTGATTTGAAAATTATTTTAGTAAGTTAACTAAAAATCGCGGGTTACTCACGTGAATATACTGAGAAAAGCTCTACTAGTTGCTCGAACCTTAGAGGGGTTCTTCATCATGAGCAGCGTGCACGGTCGCGGCAATGTCGCGCAGCCCACACACTATATTAGTAGTTCAAATAATAATCGTATTTCCAAACAAATTAAAGTTGATGCTTTGTTACTATAGATAAACATATATGCATTAAAATTTGCATTAGATTCATTTAGGTACGTCAAGGCAATAGTTACGGTAAAATTATATTTATAATATTCGTCTTATTATATTTTGTACAAAACAATGTCAGCTATAACTTGTATGCCTTCATTAATGGTCACTGCAAGTTCCATAAAGTCGAGACATCGTTCAACTAGACTAAAGACTCATAGCAAAAATGTCACACTCTTCGAAAGTGTTTGAACTCTATAAATGCACTAGAGTTCTAAAAGATATCGATTATACAAACTTCAAGTAACTACTATTACAAGTACAAAGAACTTTGCCCTAGCTGCAAAAGGTCATTTGATTATAAAACTGTATCAAACAATAGTTATTGTTTACGATTAAGTAATAACGAAGTCGTAATAAACATCGTAGTACTACTATAAAATTTCATTTGTTAGCCTTTTGCTGGCTGGTGCTTGGAGTCGCGAATTTGAAAGTAAACGTAGGAATCGGATAGATGTGGCATTGTTATTATCAATGCAGCCTTATATCACTTAGGTAATTGCTATCACTAAGTACTTTGTTGTGAACAGACTTGACCTCTTTAGGGGAAGAGTCACAATAAAAACGTCAAAGAAAAGCATTCATTTATACATTTACTTTTTTGCTGTTGTGTCAAACTTTAAACTTTTATATGAGGGTTGTGATAGCAAACTCTCAGTTCTACTTGCTGGCCCTGGGGGCTCCGGCTTCTTCGGTAGCTCCGGCATGAAAATGTGAACTTGGCGCTTAGGGTTCTTACTCACATCCGGTATCAGCTTCTTATTCAACATCTCCGCGTATTGCTTCTCAACAGCGTTCTTCTCACTGATCACTTTGAGCCGCGTCTCCGTGACGTTGGTTCTCAGCTCTCTGGACTTTGTTTTGTTGTGATTGTCTTTTATTTTGACGTTTGTCTCGTGCCGTGGCGTGCTCTTGGAGTTTCGTGACTGTCGCGCGTAGTTCTCGATCGTGTTCGCAGACGTCGGCACATAAAATTCGTGCCGATCAATATTCCCGCTTAGTTGCGCTTTTGGACTGTCCCCCCCTTTCGGTGATGTGCGCCCGGCTTCCTTATGTATGTCGGTTGCTGTTTTCGATTTCGACAAATTATGATTTCGACGCTGCAGCTCCGGCCAGCTGTGTCGGGGCTGAGACATTCGCTCTACGTTTTCTGGTGCCAGCAAATCTATTTTGCCCGCCAAGTCCAGCCATTGTAGGACCCGTTCTGACAATTCGGTATTCTCTTTAGCATCGACTCTCGCAGTTTTGTTCGCTCTCAGGTTCCTCATATTGATATTGAGGCTGTCGTAATTTCCTTCGTTAAAGTCGTTAGTATGTGGACTGGCTTTCACGATTAGTTCGTCGTCGTAGTCTCGGTCCACGCCATGCAAGTTGAGACGCTCTATATCACCGGTAACCGGTCTCTGGTTTATGCGGGACTTGTCGCTCTTTAGTACGAGGTTGAGTTTCCTTAGACACTCTTGTAAGTCGTCGGAGCGTTGGCTGAGCCGGGAGTTGGTGGTGGTGCAGCTGGCCGAGGAGTTGGGTCTGCGTCGTTTGGCGTGTAGTTTGAGCAGGTAAGGGTCGTCGTGCGTGAGTATGGCGTGTCGGTAGTCGCCCACCCACACAGTCCTCACGTACATAGGCCGCTGCGAGGACTGCCACAGGACCATATTCCCACTCGACGCTACACCCTAACGCACGGAGTCACGCGACCTTTTCTATTAGTGCGTGCACGAGTCCGCGAGCCCTCATAATTGATTCGTATCATCAATCGCGCGGCTTTCGACGGCTCTGCGAACAAATGGTGGAGTTTTATTTGATAGTTTTTATGAATGAAAGCGCGCAGTTTGGTAATAAAATGAAAAGTATTTTGTGACGAGTGCAGAACGCGAAGCTTTTGTTTTAAAGTTGTTGAGCTCTAAAAGTGACATGCTAATATTTTAAGCGAAACATAATTTCATCGCATTAGTATTCAGAAACAGGTACCATTAGAGCTCAAAATAAATATTAACGAAAACTTTTATTTCCATATAAATTCTACATACAGAAATACAAAGTGTAAAAAAATAATATAATGACAGTTTGTAAAGTTGGCAACAGTTTATTATGCACTCCGCCTGTTGCTCGGAAATTGTTTCCGTAGTTAGCAGTTAGAGTGCCTATCTCTAGTTGTGAAAGCGAGACTTTTAATGAAATTAATTTAGGTGGTTCTTCTGATTTATCATGTTAACTTGTAACCAGTAGAAAATAAACTATTTGCTTATAAAAATGACACAAATAAAAAGAAAATAATAGGACCGTGTTCGTCGACTGACAAGTGCTACTGCTAACCAAGGGGGTAAATGAAAATATGATACTATGTAAATTAGAAGTAGGTACATAATAATATAAAATACGAGTTTAATAAGAAATACTACAAATGGGAAAATTCTATCTCAAAGAAAGAACGAAATTGTGTGTTAAACAAACTTTTAAACAAAAGTCTCGAAACTGACTAACACCGTGGTCCTCCTACCTACCCCAACAACGTAGTAGCAATGATTAATTGTTCACTAAACGCGACATGACGGGTTCATGTCCGCTGAATTTACACGGAGTTAATTAATTATTGCTTAAGCTGCTGTTTGCTGATTTTTTTATGGGGTAAGCCGGTATACGAGCAGACGTATCCCTTGATGGTAAACAATCGGCGCCACCCATGGACACACGAAATACCAGAGGCGTTTACAGGTGCGTTACCGGCCTTTTGGGGATTAGGAAGGATTGTATGGTAGATTGGGGAGGAAGATAATTGGGCCTCCGAATGAACAGAAAATTCTTAATACATAACATAACATCTTTATACCCGAAGGGGTAGTTTGGTAGGGGTACATTAAATGCTGTAATGTGCACCTCTGTGCACATTACAGCATTTAATGCCACTGTACAATGTAACATCCACTTTTCACTATGTATGTTATGAGTCCAATGTAAAAGGGATGGAAAAATTAGCTGTAAGATTATTAATATAATTCGGTCGCAAAAGTAATTATTTTAATAATCTTACAGCTAATTATATATTAATCATTGCAAAAGTACCTCTGTTCGACACTCTGGTCGGAAGTATTATTGAGAGGATTTTGGTGTATGGCAATATTTTAATTCCCTATAACTTGGGACATATAACACAACTGGTGGAAATAAAGTGTTATATTGTATACTAGCGACCCGCCCCGGCTTCGCACGGGTGCAATATGCATGTATTACACATATAAACCTTCCTTAAGAATCACTCTATGTATTTAAAAAAAACTGCATCAAAATCCGTTGCGTAGTTTTAAAGATCTAAGCATACGTAGGGACAGACAGGTGGCGGATAGCGACTTTGTTTTATACTATATAGTGATACTTTGGCTACCCTCTTGAGGACTAAACAGACTTTATGAAAATCAAATTAAATTTGTAGGTTAATTATTAATCTTTTGTTTAAAAAATGTACCTTAACTTAAATTAGGGGAATATACTGAGAAAATCTCTCCTAGTTCCGATCCGAGTCACAGAGGGAATCTTACTCATGTGCGTGGTCCCCGCGATCTCGAGTGTTTGTCAGTATATTCACGTGAGTAACCCGCCATTTTTAGTTAATTCAGTATGTCTTACGACAGGTTTTTTAAAAAAATGTGTTTTGGTTGTACTGAATTTGACCATTATTACCGTGTGAATGAATAATGTGAAAAAATTATCTTATAGTATTTTTTGCTAAACAATTGTCTTAATCAATTGATCTCCATTGTTTAAATTCATTGACAGATTAACTGTATCACGAAATCATTTGACATTAAAAGATAATTGTAATTGTTTGGGTTGACTGCGTGTTGCATATTTATTTTAGCATCTAAGTAAGCATAATACATGATTAAATGATTATATCTCTAACTACTATGTGAATACAGCATTAAATTCAACATCGGAATTAATACCATTTAATACTCACAATACAAACATTAAATCAATGCATCGGCTACGAATCCGTAGCATCCTCGTAGCATGGCTACGAAGCGTAGCACTTGTCTACGCACGTAATTTTCACATGATCAACTTGTCAAAGATCTAAAAGTATAAAGATCGCCAAGTCACAATAAAATAAAACAATATTTTTAAATATTATTTTTGTTTTCGGTAAGTATCGGTGCAATCGCGAACGTCGTTACTTATTTCCTTGTAACCGGTGACTGGTCGACGCTCCCCGTTCGCGAGCGGTTTTGTCGTCAACTAAAGCCGGTTACACACGCGATGACACGATTCTGGTTTAAGGTTGAATATATTAGTTACATGTGTCAAGTTGAACCCAATGAATCATTGTCGCGAATGCCGTTCCGTGTTGCCGTGTGTAATTGCATTATATTTTGTTGTAATCCTTGTTATTTGTCGCGATTAATATGCTTGGACTCGTGGTATGGGAGAGAAATGTTGTCGTTATGTTAAAGAATAAAGTTGCTTGCATTTTTCAAGAAAGGATATGGATAAGTTTGTATTTTCTATGTTTTCCATTTAAAGCGAGTCGCGAGATCGCATGTTTTTTGTTTTGGATTATTCATTGTAAGTTAGTTTGAAATCAGCTTATACGCTTGAATAATATTTAAATCAGATACTAGCTACCATACACATAT